TTTGGATTTCTACCACTGTGTAGATTGGTGTGAACTTTATTGGGTTCTCAGAAGTGTTAAAAAGTAAGACGGAAAGAACTCAAAATAAGAAAATAAACAAAATCAAACACAGGAGAAAGCAAATTAATTAATTCTCACCCATCATACTCATTTTCAGTGTAAGATTGCAGCTGCACTTTCTGTGCATAAAGATATATGTGGATGGACACTGGAGATAACATATTACATTTTCATCCTGACAAAATACTCTCCAGATGTGTTGAAATGGGATTATAGGATACAGGATTGAGGAAGGCTGCATAGAGAGCCTTTCTTTTTTGTTATGGCCTTTGGACTACTATCTCACCTGCCTCACAGGAAACCTGCTACAAAACAGGAGCTTTTTTGTTGAGTTCCAGGGCCAGAGAAGGAGATGGTGGAAACAGAAGAACAGCCTGCCTCAGGGGAGCGTGCTTGCTCCATCCATGTTCAACATCTACACAAATGACCAGCCACTGCCAGAAGGGACAGAGAGCTTCATCTATGCTGATGATTGTGCCATTACCACTCAAGCAGAGAGCTTTGAGATGGTTGAACAGAAACTCTCCGAAGCTCTAGGTGCTCTTACTGCCTATTACAGGGAAAACCAGCTGATCCCTAATCCATCTAAAACACAGACATGTGCCTTTCATCTCAAGAACAGACAAGCATCCTGAGCTCTGAGGATTACCTGGGAAGGAATCCCACTGGAGCACTGCAGTGCACTCAGATACCTGGGAGTCACCCTGGACTGTGCTCTGACCTACAAGAAGCACTGCCTGAACATCAAGCAAAAAGTGGGTGCTAGAAACAATATCATACGAAAGCTGACTGGCACAAACTGGGGATCACAACCAGACACAGTGAAGACATCTGCCCTTGCGCTATGCTACTCTGCTGCTGAGTATGCATGCCCAGTGTGGAATAAATCTTGCCACGCTAAAACAGTGGATGTGGCTCTTAATGAGACATGCTGCATTATCACGGGGTGTCTGCACCCTACACCACTGGAGAAATTACACTGTCTAGCTGGTATTGCACCACCTGACATCCGCCGGGAAGTAGCAGCCAATAGTGAAAGGACCAAGGCAGTGACATCTCCAGCTCATCCCTTGTTTGGGTATCAGCCAGCACATCAACGAATTAAATCAAGAAATAGTTTTCTAAGATCTACAGAGACACTCGTTGGAACACCCCAGCAAGCGAAAACTCAGGGTAGTAATCAAGATGGAAAATCCCATCTCCATGACACAGCAACTATGTTATGTGCAAAGACTCTCAAATTTAATCCACGAGTCCCCTAGAAACCTCTCTTCACCCTAAGAATTACTGCCGGTCAGAGTCCACAATATTGGGTTAGATCAGGGGTCCTCAAACTAAGGCCCGGGGGGCAAGATACGGGGGCAAGATAGGATTGTTGTTGTTGTTGTGTTCTTTCAAGTCATTTCCGACTTGGGTTGACCCTGAGCGAGGGCTGGGTAAATGACCTTAGAGGGCCGTATCCGGTCCCTGGGCCTTAGTATGAGGATCCTTGCACTAGAGCCTCTTATGCAAGATCATCCATCTGTTATCTGAAGCCCTCCTGCTAGTCTAGCAAGCTACCTTTCTTTTCATCCGCCAAGGACTCTGTCTGTACATAAGTCAATTTGGTATCTACTACTTCTGGACAAAGTAACACTCTGTGATTTGGCCCAAAGCTCAGCAAAGGGGGTGGAGGAACTTCAGCCAAGACCTGTCCTCATCATCCTGCCTTTTGCAACTTTTCAATGTTGTTCCCAGCATTGGTGCCAGCCCCTTATCTAAATAGTAGGGGGACTGCGTGGGGAGCAATGATCTCATTGTGCTGTCTTCCAAGGGTTATGCCTCGATGGGCTTGATAAAGTCCCTGCTGCCTCCTTTGATGGCTTTATAGAAGGATGTGGGAAATGGAGAGGAAGAGATCTTAAGAGATAAGGCCCACACCATCAAGGAAGATCAAAACTGGACCAGTGCTACAATTGGAGGGATCCTCCCCTTTGATTTAGCAAACATCACTGGGAAGTAATCATGATGCGAGGAAGGAGCTGAGTATGTATGTCCAAAATCAAGATTCCTAGCCAGAATTGTTGTGCAGTGGGCCTTGATATCTGCTGGGGTTGGGTATCCCTTCTATAAATCAGCAAAATCAAGGTTTGCATTTAGAATTTTGTCCATATGTGTGCTTGCGCATAGAATATTTTCAAGTCATGGATGGTTGGAAACATGGATACAGAACCTGTGGATATGGAGCTGACTGCAGTCACCCGAACCAGGCAAATGATGCTAATTTTTAGAAAACAACTGGAGCAGAGATGTGGCAAAGAACTCTTTTGGAGTGTCCTTGTCACAACCTACACAGGTTTCCCAGCCTATAATCATTGCTACCCATTTCTTCCTTGCTGCTCAAATGGAATATCTATATAATGTGATCTCTCTCTCTCTCTCTCTCTCTCTCTTCCACCTGCTCCATGAGTCATAAATTCAGATTAAAATGAAGCATAAACGACATATTTATGCATATCCATCTGCAGAGGCGGCCCTAGGTAATTTTCAACAGTAAGCAAACAGTATTTTGGCGCCCCCCCCCCACCAATCATTGATATATATTTTCTGTTTGTCGTGGAGTTCTGTGTGCCATATTTGGTTCAATTCCATCATTGGTGGAGTTCAGAATGCTCTTTGATTGTAGGTGAACTATACATCCCAGTAACTATACTTGCCGCACTTGCTCCCTTGCCTAGCCCACTTTGGGTCAGGAGGCATGCCTGAAGACCCCAGCTTGTGCACCAAAAGTCACCTCTTCTCCTGACTTTCTCCTCAGCCATTGGGACCGAGAGAGAGAGAGAGAGAGAGAGAGAGGGTGGAGATGCCCACCTTTCCTGAAGGTAGGCGCAAAAACAAAGGAGGGAGCGGAGGTGGGAGATACCTCCAGCCGGAGGGGCTCTCTCTCTCTCTCTCTTGGTCCCAATGGCTGAAGAGAAAGTCAGGAGAAGAGGCGACTTTTGGTGCACACGCTGGGGTCTTCAGACATGCCTCCGGACCTGAAGTGGGCCAGGCACGGCGGCTCCGCCCCTTGGCCCACCCGTAGATTGGAGAGAGGAGGTGGGTGGAGCGCCAGGGGATCAAGAAAGGGAGCCGGTCATGGGGAAGGGATCGAACGTGGAGAACGATTGAGTGCCGGCTCTGCTCGTGCACTCAGTGGCCAGGTGGAGCAGGAACGAGAGGGGCAAGGCGAGGCTCAAGGGCCCGGCCCCTTTGGGAAGAGGATTGCCCGGCAGCGAGGCAGGAAAGCCGAGGCTTCCCCCGGACTGTTGTGAGCTGAGAGGGCACTCCTCAAGTGGCGGTCAAGGGGCATTTACAGAAGCGCCTCTGCACCCCTGGCAAAAAAAGTATTCTGCGACCGCTTACTTCGCGTAATGGACGAGCCGCCCCTGTCCATCTGTTATCTCTGCCCTTCTCCGCACTCTCCTCTGCAAACATGTAGAGTGTAAGATCTTTGGGGCTGAGAACTCTTTGTTTATGTTTGAATATTTTTTTAAAAAAGCAAATGCACTGATGATGCTACAGATGCACTGATGATGACTGAAAATGTTTTGGATTTTGGAATACCTGTATTTCAATAGATGTACATAATGAGATATCGTGGAGATGAGACCCAAGTCTAAGTATTAAATTCATTTATGCTTAATATATTCCATATACACATAACTTGAAGGTAAATTTTATACAAGATTCTCAATTCTTTTATGCATAAAACAAAGTTTGTGTACACTGACCATCAGAAAGCAAAGGCATCACTATCTTAGCCACCCATGTGGGCAATTTTGGAATATGCCAGAATTCTGGAGAATGAATGTCCAACTTGTACTTCAGAAGGCAGTTGAGAAAGCTAGCAGTTCTTCTATAGCGAAGAAGTACCATAGCTGAGATGTATACAAAAACACTCCTGTTATGAAAGGAAAGTAGCATGTATAAAGTATATTTTGTCTAATAACCTCAAAACAATTTCAGTCTCAAATAAAAGGGCATCGGTGGAAGCTCAGCAACAAATGTACAAGCCAGCAAAGTCAATGATGTATATCAGATAGTACTGCTGCTCAGAACCAACATGATCCCCTCACCTTTCTCCTGCTGGTAGGAAACATTAACTCATCCGTCACTCATTACCTCATCCGTCACTCATCCGTCTCGATGGGAGAATGTGTAAGGTGTGGGGATGAAAGGACAGGTTCGTTTTGGGCTGGATTATAATGGAAGAATGATCAAATGGAAGAGAAGGAGGTGCATTGGGAGACATTGGTAGAAAAAAGAATAGGTAAAATGTAGACTGGAACTGTTGATTGTTGAAAAATGAAGACAGTATCTGAACGGTTTAGGACCTGCCTATCTGCGTGGCCACATTTCTGTTTACAAACCCACCCGATCTCTTTGATTATCTGGAGAGGCCCTGTTCTCACTCCCGTGAAGCATTTTAAACAACCTTCTGCTCCCTGGCATATGGAACAGAGTGATGAGTAGTAAAGTTAAAGATATCCAGGCCTGTAGTGGGGGCGGGGGCTTGGGGTTAGGGGTTCAACCCCCCCCCTGAAATTTTTCAGGTTAAAAAAACCTGGTTTACTCATGAATTTTAACTGGTTAACCAAATCCCCATGCTAAGTCTATGAGACGCAAAAAATTAAGAGTCCCTCTAGAACTGCAAGCACTATCTCAAGCAAATATTGACAATCTATTCACGCTGTCATTACTTGCAGCAATAGCCGATGTAGTGAAGCAACCAAGTTGGGTGTGTGTGTGTTGAATGCTGTCATTAAGGAGGCCAGACTTGGTGGAGGTGGTTGACAGGGACGGAGCTGCAGGCTATTGAAGGCTGCTCTGCCCCCTGCTGTGCTTTTTGCTTCAGCGTGAGCTAGGAGGCAGGTTTCAACCCCTCCCCCCCCAAATTTTCAACCCCTCCTGAATTTTTTTTTCTGGCTACAGCCCTGAAGGTATCTCCTGGACATTACGTCTAGTCGTGTCCAACTCTGGGGGATGGTTGTCATCATTTCTAAACTGAAGAGCCGGTGTCGTCCATAGAAGCCTCCTATGTCATGTTGCTGGAATGACTGCATGGAGCACTATAACCTTCCCGCTGAAGTGATACCTATTGATCTACACACATCTGCATGTTTTCAAACTGCTAGCTTAGCAGAAGCTGGGGCTAACAACAGGAGCTCACCCCGTCCACAGGTTCGAACAGCTGACATTCCGATCTTTGAATGAGATTTTCCTGCTTCTTGGCAGGGGGTTGGACTGGATGGCCGACGAGGTCTCTCCCAACCTTATGATTCTATAATTCTCTGATGAGCAAGTTCTGCGTCTTAGCAGATTAACCCACTGCATCACCACGGCCCATAGAGTGATGAGTAGATATGTGGAAATAAGTAAGGAGAGTTAGAAAGGGAGTAAACAGAAAGTGATGATTGAGTGGTTGAGAAGGACAGGATCTATTTTGAGATTAACAAAATGCACTCTTCCTTGCTGCACGTGCATGCCTCTCTACCATGGAGTGGGTGGCGATGTAGAAAAATTATGATTTCTGCAGATGGTGGGCCAGTTTGTCTCCCATTTTGTGCAATTACAATGACAGCAAAAATGGCTGAGAAAAGCTTTTATCCTGTGTCCAGACTAGATTTCATTCAACATTTGCAAGACAGAAAAATAGGTGCAAACTCCACAGGGATGGAAGGATGCAGATGTGTTAGGAATGTTAAAGAATGGGAAAGGAAAACAGTATGTGTGGAGAAAAATGGAAGAAGTTGTGTACAGATTAGAGGAGCTGGATGATGGCATAGATAATTCAGTCTAACGGCCAAGTTGACACCAAGAACGATGGTGTAATAAGACAGCAAAACTGTTTCGGGACACTACTGCCTTTTTTTTTTTTTTTTGCAGCCAAGTAAGCACTGCATGATAACGCACTTTCATACATGCACACACACACTCACACCCCACACATAGGAAACTAGACGGAGAAGGTTTCTAGAATAGTCACCCCCATCCCTTATGCTCATTTTTGCACAGGGAGTGATTGTTTTCCAACATGGGGAAGAACACAATCTCACCATTCCCCACCTGCAACCTGAAATAGTACAATTTGTCCGTTTTTCACCACTTCATCTGCTGTTGTTAAATATTATACCATGCTAGACTCTTCTGATGAGGGTGAGGGCTCATATTGCCCTGCCAATATTGTCCTTTCTTCCTGTCATTTCAAGGGGCAGTGCATATAGCTGCTTTTCAAATGTTGCCAGTGGGGAAATGCTTCTTTCTCAATCATATCCTGGAGTCTCTGTACATGCATGTGGGCTTGTACATTACAAGGCTCTTTATCCAAGTGCAGAGACAACTCCAGGAGAGCTATGCGGGACAGGAGAAGCCTGTGGAGGATAGCCTGGCGGAGCCCCTAAAAGGTGTGGGTTGTGCCCAAAAGGGAGCAGGTGTCCTGGCAGCATCATGGGGCTGAGAGTATAGAGGGCAGCAGCTTCGTCCCCCATCAGAGGAGGTGACATCATCTCCAAGGAGGTAGTTGTGGCCATGGTTGCTTCTCCAGAATTTCCTTTGCGCTTCTTGGACTTGGAAGAGGAGACCTTGCGGTTCCGTGTCTGGATCCCATCTTTCCGCATGGCCAAGGGACGATTCACCTGCAATTTGTGTTTTTAAATATATTATAAATGTACCCTCAATTCGCTTCTGACACGATAAATAAATATTTTAGGTGTGAATCCAATACTTTCCTGTACCAAAATAAATGCTTGTGGTTAATAGTTTTCTAACAAATAGTTTTGTACCAAAATAAAAGTTTGTGGTTATATTTAAAATACTTTCTCTTTATTCTTGAACTTATCCCAGTATACAAAACACAGAGACAATGGACGCAAGGGAAAGAAGCAAGATCTTTGTGGGTTCACAATGCTTAGGGACAGAATTAGGATTCTTCAGGAAAATCAGGGACAGAGTTGGGGTTTCATGGGAACAAAAAAGTCATCTGAAGGATTCCATGGCCAAAAATGTTGAGGAACTGCTAGTCTTAAGACATACATGCACACAAATTGGAGAGAGAGAGAGATGTTTATGTTCCAATTCACTCATTGAGCTTAAACAACTTACTGTATATACTCGAGTATAAGCCTAGTTTTTCAGCCCCCTTTTTAGGCTGAAAAAGCTCCCCTCGGCTTATACTCGAGTCAAGGTTATTTATTATTTTACTCTGTTATTAGTATTATTTTTATTTCGTGTATTATTTTACTCTCTTTATTATTATTACATTTACAGTATTTTATCCTATTATTATTATTACATTTATTATTTTACGCTATTTATGATTATTATTACATTTAGTATTTTACTTTATTATTATTGCATTTATTATTTTACTCTATTAGTACATTTATTATTCTACTCTATTATTACTGTTATTATTGCATTTCCATTATTTTACTTTATTATTATAATATTTATTATTTTACTCTCTTTATTATTGTTGGAAGGATATGTAAGTACATTTACATTGAAGATATGTAATGATTTAATCAGAGTTGGGCAGTCTTATCTCAAATTACAGTTTTATGTAAATATTAAAAAACATTTCACCTCCCGATGCCTCAATTAATGTAATTTTATTGGTAGCTATTTTTATTTTGAAATGTACCTGTAGTGGCTGCATTTCCCACCCTCAGCTTATACTTGAGTCAATATGTTTTCCCAGTTTTTTGTGGTAAAATTAGGTGCCTCGGCTTATATTCGGGTCAGCTTATACTCGAGTATATACGGTACTTTTTAAGTCCATAATTCCCGGAGTACTAATTTTGCCAAAGCTCTGGACACTCAACCCACCATTTCACTGTCTCAACTTACATTGTGCAGCTTGAAGTATAGGCCACAGGCATTACAGACGGGTTCTCCATTCACGTTGCGGCGCCAGAGGGTGGTGGTGGTGGTTTGGCAGTTGCTGCACTGGGTTCCAGCTCGCTTGCTGACAATCTGCATTGTTTTAATGGAATGATAATGAGTTATGCACATTTATTTTTTGTGCAGTTACAAATATGCAGGGATCTAGGTAGGAAAACAGGTACGTGATCTTCTATGTTCTTCCTCAGAGGAGAGCTACGGGTAGAAAACAACCCAAGCCCTGGTTGATGAAGCCCCTGAAACCACAAAGTCCTTTGCAACTCAGGTTTGATTCATTTGTACAGCAGAAAAGTACAGAAAGCCAGCAAAGTGCAATAGTCTGAGCATTGGGCTTGCACTTGGATTCTGGGGAGCAAGGTTTGCATAGCTGCTCAGTCACACAAACCTACTTTGTGATCTTGAACAATTCACACTCTCTCAGCCTCAAAACAAAGCAAAGACAACCCCCCTCTGAACAATTCTTACCAATATAGTGGGGGCTTATGGACCCTAAGGCAATAACCCCATGATAGTGTTGCTTTAGGGTCACTATAAGTTGTGACATCTTGAAGGCACATTAGAACCTAAAACGAATAGCTCATAACCATTTTAGGGTTCCAAATTCCTTTGAGAATCTAATGAAAGCTACGGACCCTGCCTTGTAACATGGCAATGATGATGTTTTGTACCTTACCTTTCCCTAAAGTAGCCGCTCTCCACCGTAACAACATAATTTTAAATTCTATTTAAAAAACAATAACGAATGACTGGCATTAGCATAGCCTACTAGCCAGCTGGGTCAACTTAACTCTGAAATGACTTGAAAGCACACAACAACAATAATCCTATCTCATCAGCCAAAAGCAGGCCCACACTTCTCATTGAAATATAAATAAGTTTATATTTCTTAAAATTATTCTTCATTTTAATTATTTTATTGTTTTAAATGTTTTTTGCACTACAAATAAGATATGGGCAGTGTGCATAGGAATTCATTCCTGTTTTTTTTTTTCCAAATTATAATCCGGCCCTCCAACAGTTTGAGGGACTGTGACCTGGCCCTTGTTTAAAAAGTTTGAGGATCCCTGTTTTAATGTAAGAGGGGCAGTGAGGGATTAGGGTATGGATAGTGTAACTATACTGCTTCATCATTAGGTGGCACTAGAATTAATAATTTTCCATGGTAATATTCTATTATAGTAGTCTTTAGGAGAGCTCTCTTTTATAGGACAATTTACACTTTATTCTACAGGTATCACTGATTCCACCTCTTCTACTCCTGCCAACATGCGCCAATCCGCAAACCGTGGAATTAACTAGTTATAAATAGCCAGTTACTTGCCATTAGTTCCTCTTTCCAACAGTGAAGACTTACTGCATTTCTTTACGAAGTGTAATTTAGGAATAACTTCAGGCTTTGTTTTTAGCAGCGTAAAGTTACTAGTATGGTTACAGAGGAGAACCCTTGCTAAATAGCGGAGGAGAAATATCACAGTGTTCAAGTGTTAGCATCTGATGTACATCATGAGGCCACCTCCTACTCTGTTGTGGATACTGCAGTGACAATGTGGACAGGAAGAGAGTATCATTTGTATCATAAGCCAATGCTTCTGGCATTCTGTTAGTAGTTACTAATCACTGGGAATATTTAAACTATGGTCAAAATGCACAATAACACGGTTCTGTGCAGGCTATTGATATTTGAAAAGGCTGGTGTGTTCCCCTTCAGTGATTTAGCAGCCAGGGGAAAGTGCAGGTTGCACAAGAAACATTGCATAAACTCATTCAGCCAGAGGCAGGACATCTGTCTAGTCCAGGGGTCCTCAAACTAAAGCCTGGGGACCGGATATGGCCCTCCAAGGTTATTTACCCAGTCCTCGCTCAGGGTCAACCTAAGTCTGAAAAGACTTGAAAGCAAACAACAACAACAACAACAATCCTATCTCATCAGCCAAAAGCAGGCCCACACTTCCTATTGAAATACTAATAAGTTTATATTTGTTAAAATTGTTCTTCATTTTAATTATTGTATTGTTTTAAAGTGTTTTTTGCACTACAAATAAGATATGTGCAGTGTGCATAGGAATTCATGCATGTTTTTTTCAAATTATAATCCGGCCCTTCAACAGTTTGAAGGACTGTGACCTGGCCCTCTGTTTAAAAAGTTTGAGGACCCCTGGTCTAGTCCCTTGTTGGAGTGCAGTGGAAATCCAGGAGGGATACAATAGTTCTTTCCTTCCATTCATAAGAAACTCCATTCCAGGTGCCCCACAACCACCCTAGCCATTAAATGGATACCTTCTGATACTAAATAGCACAGAGAGCATATATTGTCGAAGGCTTTCATGGCCGGAATCACTGGGTTGTTGTAGGTTTTTTCAGGCTATATGGCCATGGTCTAGAGGCATTCTCTCCTGACGTTTCGCCTGCATCTATGGCAAGCATCCTCAGAGGTAGTGAGGATGCTTCTTCTCTTTGCAATAAGTCATCGGTTCTCAAACTGTCCGAATCAAACAGAGGAGATCTGGGCTTCCCTCCTCCTCCTCCCCTGCTCTAGTTCAACCTGACAGTTGCAGCCTCTGGAGTTTCTTTGTTGTTGTTGTTGTTGTTGTTGTTGTTGTTACAAAGGCTGGATGGCCATCTGTTGGGGTGCTTTAATTATGTTTTTCCTGCATGGTAGAAGCGGGTTAGACTGGATGGCCCTGGGGGTCTTCCATTGAAATACTGTTACGTTTATTGTATTGTTGAAGGCTTTCATGGCCAGAATCACTGGGTAATTGTAGGTTTTTTCGGGCTATATGGCCATAGTCTAGAGGCATTCTCTCCTGACGTTTTGCCTGCATCTATGGCAAGCATCCTCACTACCTCTGAGGATGCTTGCCATAGATGCAGGCGAAATGTCAGGAGAGAATGCCTCTAGACCATGGCCATATAGCCCAAAAAAATCTACAACAACCCACTGGTTGAAATTGTTCATCATTTTAAATATTGTATTGTTCTTTCTTTCCTCCTCCGCCCCCCCCCCCCCATATTGTGTGAATTAGTTCAAACAAACACTCTCTATCCATCTGCCCCTGGCCCAGCCTATGCTTGATATATATACATTATATACAATATAACATATAATATATAAACATTTCTTGAGACTCCACATGAAACTTTTCCTTCAAAAAGGGCTCTGCGACAGAGTAAGTTTGAGAACCCCTGAAATAAGCTTATGGTAGAAGACATTCAGCAAGGAGCTGCTGGATAGCTCCTTGTGCAATGTGTAATATAACATACAACTGGCCTTCCCTATTCACAGATTCTCAATTCACAGATTCAGCCACCCACAATTATTTTTTCAATTCCAAAGGCCAACTTTGATTTTGCCATTTTATCTAAGGGGCACCATTTTACCACAGTATTGCACATAATGGAATTTGAGTATCCACAGATTTTGATATCCACAGGAGGGTCCTGGAACCAAACAAACCACAGGACTTCCCATTGTAATCTTATTCAATGAATGGACCTTTCTCACCCTGATTACTTTGTGATACTAATTCATATGAGTTCAACTTGAAGACCTACAACTATTTCATCACATAATAGTCGTCACCGCAAATAAGTCGAACCCCCATTTTGGGGGTTTCAAAATTGATATAATTCTCCTCCTCACATAATAGTCGCACAGAAACACACCCAGCCTGTGCACCTGATCCTTGAAGCTATCAAGCTTCCCAGCTGAGGGAAGCCCCCATAGCTCTGTGGGGAAGGTGTATGAGCAGGTAGAGGCACCTGGGCAGCTTTGCAGCTATGGGGTTTCCCTTGCCTAGTAGTCAAGGGAAGCCACGTACCTGCAAAAAAAAATTCACTGCATAATAATCGCACCCCTTTCCCTGCCCATCCAAAAGCGAGGGAAGTGTGACTATTATACGGTGAAAAACAATATTTTCAGTTCAAGGCTTCATACCTGAAATGCAAGCTCATATCTTTTTAATAGGCAAAAAACTGCAACATAAAAGGGGCAGCAAAGGGGGAGACTTACCAGTCGCTTCTTGGGCCGGATGAGGGGCCGGTTCTGTCCATTCATCTTGTGATAGAGTCCGCAGGCATTACAGAGATAGTGGCCAGTCCCGTCCCTTCGCCACAGAGGAGTGGCAGTGGCCCCACAGTTCACACACTCACGTGCCTCTGTGGGGATAGATGGAGTCAAGAAAGAGCTGGCAATATAAATTCACAAAGGGACAGGAAGAGGCTTAAACTCACTTTTCCTTGAATGAGCCGAAAATGGGAAACAGAGTTCTTCCCACCCTCCACTTCAAACTCATAACAGTTCAATGAGATGGGGAAGCCTGGTAGATAAACAATGCTATCCTATATATGTCTACTTAAAAGTATGTTTACAGCTTACACACGGGTACCTGTAAATAGGATTGCAGCCAATGTCACTGATGGTGCATCTACACTGAGGAATTAATGAAGTTTGGTACCACTATAACTGCCATGGCTAAATGCTATGGAATCCTGGGAGCTATAGTTTTACAAGTCCTTCTCTTCTCTATGAAGAGTGCTAAGGCATCACCAAACTACAAATCCAAGGGTTCCAGCTAGTGTAAAGGTAAAACCCAGAACACTAGCAAAATGGCTAGTGTTCTGGGTTTTACTTTTTGGTTTCTGAATAAAGCTGTTTGATGTTAGATCCAGGGAAGTCATACTACCCCTCTATTCTGCTTTGATCAGACCACACCTTGAATGCCGTGTCCAATTCTGGGCACTGCAATTGAAGGGAGATGTTGACAAGCTGGAATGTGTCCAGAGGAGGGTGACTCAAATGATCATGGGTCTGGAGAACAAGCCCTATGAGGAGCGGCTTAGAGAGCTGGGCATGTTTAGCCTGAAGAAGAGAAGACATAATGACCATATATAACTATGTATAAATAAAGCCATATTTTCTCTTCCTTCCTTCCACCTTCTGGTACAAACCGAGTTCAAAATGGAGCCCAAAGACTATGTTACTCAACTCCAAACTGGAGAAAGCGGGAAGAAAATGAAGAAAGACTCAGAAAGGACATGGGATGGCTGGCCATCCCAAAAGATTGAGATTGAGAAGAGGCTTTCCCCCTGCGCATCTGATGAAGTCCTTAGTGGAAATCTTTTCAACAATACCTGGAATATTGTGTCCAATTCTGGGCACCACAATTCAAGAGAGATATTGACAAGCTGGAATGTGTCCAGAGGAGGGCGACTAAAATGATCAAGGGTCTGGAGAACAAGCCCTATGAGGAGCGGCTTAAGGAGCTGGGCATGTTTAGCCTGAAGAAGAGAAGGCTGAGAGGAGATATGATAGCCATTTATAAATATGTGAGAGGAAGCCACAGGGAGGAGGGAGCAAGCTTGTTTTCTGCTTCCTTGGAGACTAGGACGCGGAACAATGGCTTCAAACTACAAGAGAGGAGATTCCATCTGAACATGAGGAAGAACTTCCTGACTGTGAGAGCCGTTCGGCAGTGGAACTCTCTGCCCCGGAGTGTGGTGGAGGCTCCTTCTTTGGAGGCTTTTAAACAGGGGCTGGATGGCCATCTGTCAGGGGTGATTTGAGTGCAATGTTCCTGCTTCTTGGCAGGGGGTTGGACTGGATGGCCCATGAGGTCTCTTCCAACTCTTTGATTCTATGATTCTATAATACTGGGTCAGTTCCTGGAGATTGAAAACTATGCCATTTCCCCCTTTAATCAGTACTTCAACTCTTGGACTCACTATAACACAAGACTCCAACTTCCTGAATTTATAAATAAGATTCCTTGCCAAGATTTTTTTTGCTTGCCAATAAATGGAATTAAAAAAATGGTTGGATGACATCCCTTTGCATGGAAGTTTTAATCAAGAAAGCATCTAAAATTGGAATCCACCCACCCAACCTGGTTTTTTGAAATATTTCTGCACACTCTTGTCATCTTATTCCCATTTTATTTTGTGGCGCACACCGAAAATCTCACCAGTGGGAGAGAGCTGGGCTACTCCTCGCACTTTGGGGGAGTATCTGGCTGTCAGAGGACTCCCAGCCTGCTGGAAGTATCCGTATTCTTGCCCCACAGCATAAGGGCTGTGGGCCATAGATCCAGTTGAGGTCCCCAATGTTAGCAGCTCAACGTGAGTGGGGCTTGCCCGTTCCGTCTTCAGCATCTCCAGATATCTGGGGCTCCCCTTCTGGTCCTCGGGGGTAAGGTCCTTGGGTGAGGGAGGTGCTTGGAGAGTCTGAAAGGAGGCGGTTGAAGAGGAAGTGTAGATAGGGAGTCCAACATGAGGCTTCCCAGAAGCCCAGGCTGCTGTGCTGTAGGGGTGTCCATCCACCCATTGCAAGCCATTGAGCAGAGGATACAACTGCCGCACTGTTGGGAAAATGACACACAAAAGATTAATCATGCAGTGGTGGTTGTGTAGTAGTAGCAGAAGGCTGAAAGGAGCAGAAGGCAGATCTCTGCCTACCGGCCAATCACTCCATGAATATTTGCAGATCAACGTGGATTTTTTAATCCAAGTAGCCAGAAAATTATTCTCTGCCTTCAGTGCACTGAATTAGATTTATACCTGAAATGAGAAAGTAAGTGAGTTCTCGGGCATGAATTCTTTAACTGAAAGTTGATGCCAGAAATAGCAATGAAACAATAGGGACTATTTCCTACATCACAAAGAAGAGTACAGTGAGTCCTTGGTATGTGCTGGGATTTGGTTCAAGATCCTCCATGGATACAAAAATCTATGGATACTCATGCCCCATTATATACAAAGGTGTAGTAAAATGGTGTCCCTGATATAAATTAGCAAAATCAAAGTTTGTTTGGGGATATATATGTGTATGTTTGTGTGTGGGTGGGTGTATATTTACAGCGGCTTTCGATACCATCAATCATGGTATCCTTCTGGGAAGACTCTCCGGGATGGGCCTTGGAGGCACTGCTCTGTCATGGCTCCGGTCCTTCCTTGAGGGTTGTTCCCAGATGGTGAAGCTGGGGGACACCTGCTCGGACCCCTGGCCCTTGACCTGTGGGGTCCTGCAAGGTTCCATTCTGTCCCCCATGCTTTTTAATATCTACATGAAACCACTGGGAGAGGTCATCCGGAGTTTTGGAGTTGGGTGCCATCTCTATGCAGATGACACGCAAATACTACTCTTTTCCACCTAACTCCAAGGAAGCCCGTCAGGTGCTGGATGAGTGCCTGGCCGCTGTGGCTGTCTGGATGAGGAGGAACAAGCTGAAGATAAATCCCGACAAGACAGAGGTCCTCCTGGTTTATCGTAAACCAGATCGGGGTATAGGGTGGCAACCTGTGCTGGATGGGGTTGCACTCCCCCTGAAATCTCAGGACCGCAGTCTGGGTGTCCTCCTGGACTCATCACTCACGCTTGAAGCTCAGGCGTCGGCGGTAGCCGGGAGGACCTTTGCACAATTAACACTCGTGCGCCAGCTGCAACCGTACCTTGTGAAGGTGGATCTGGCCAGGGTGGTCCATGCCTTAGTCACCTCCAGACTAGATTACTGTAATGCACTCTACGTGGGCTGCCCTTGAAAACGGCCCAGAAATTTCAATTGGTACAATGGCTGGCGGCCAGGTTGTTAACTGGTGCTCCTTACAGGGAGCGGTCAACCCTCCTGTTTAAGGAGCTCCACTGGCTGCCATTCATTGTCCGGTCCCAATTCAATGTGAAGGTTCTTACCTACAAAACCCTGAATGGTTTGGGACCCGCCTACCTGCGTGTCCGCACTTCTGTATACGAACCCACACGATCCCTTCGATCATCTGGAGAGGCCCTGCTCGTGCTCCCACCTCCATCACAGGTGTGATTGGTGGGGACAAGGGGGAGGGCCTTCTCGCTGGTGGCCCCTCGACTCTGGAACTCACTGCCCAAGGACATCAGACATGCCCCAACTTTGGCAGTCTTTAGGAGGAGCCTGAAAACGTGGTTGTTCCAGTGTGCCTTCCCAGAATAAGGAAATACTCTCAGCAATGGGTCCTCTAAATGCACTTTATCACTGACTTAGGACTGTTTGCTCGCCCATCTCTCGCTGAAAATTCTATCCCAGTATATTACCTTGTTCATGTCCAGCATTATTTTTTAATTTTTAATTATCACATTTGGCCCAACCATAGGTTTTCAAATGCTTGTTGTTACTGTTACTGTTTATTGTTTATTTTTTGTTTATGAGATTTATTTTTATTGTTTTGTATTGATGTTTTGTTATTGCTTTTATTATTGTTCTATGGGCTCGGCCTCATGTAAGCCGCACTGAGTCCCTTGGGGAGATGGTAGCGGGGTATAAATAAAGTATTATTATTATTATTATTATTATTATTATTATTATTTCCAAGTTATGGATGGTGGAATTTGTGAACCTTTTAGCCTTGTAGGCATTCTTGAAATATTTCTTCAAAATGCAGGGATCTTCCTTCAAATATTTTCTTTTCTTTCACCAACCTCTGTCTAGTGATTGTTTGATTGTAAATTCCATTTTAGCTAGCAAATGTATAGATGTATGCTTCTTTAATATGCTGGAAGATAACTGGTGAAGTGGGCTTATATGTTTTATCCTTTTCTGTTGTTCATGCATATTCAGTAAGAGATTCTGGAGACAGCTGCTGCTTCCCTTGCCTGTTGTAGACAGGCATACACAGCTAGAACAAAATCACAATCTTTCCCAGCTCAAGTTTGCATTGCATTGATCATTGCTGCAAACCGACACTGAATCTCTTACTCTCCTTCATAATCTTCCCAGTGCCGTGATGCTTCTAATTTCCATCTGAATAGAGAACAAAGAGCAAAAGAAAGCTGGGGATGTGAAAATACTGTGTGATAATGAGCTCCTTTGTTAGGGCCCTTTCACACAGCCCTATAACCCAGAATATCAAGGCAGAAAATCCCACAATATCTGATTTGATCTGGGTTATCTGAGTCCACACTCAGATAATGTGGGATTTTCTGCCTTAATATCTGGGCTATAGGACTGTGTGTAAGGTCCCCCAGTTCAAAGCAGATAATCTGGAATTTATCCAATGGTGTAGAAGAGACTTCAGGGCCCTTCCACACAGCCATATAATCCAGAATATCAAGGCAGAAAATCCCACAATATCTGCTTTGAACTGGGCTATCTGAGTCCACACTGCCAGTTCAAAGCAGAAAATGTGAGATTTTATTCAGCTGTGTGGAAGGGACCTCAGACACCCTTTTAACTGAAGTACGGCTTCATATCTCTGAAATGAAGAGAACCTGGCAGTAGGTTGTTGTAGGTCTTTCGGGCTGTATGGCCATGTTCCAGAAGCATTCTCTCCTGACATTTTGCCTACATCTATGGCAGGCACCCTCTGAGGATGCCTGCCATAGATGTGGGCAAAACTTCAGGAGAGAATGCTTCTGGAACATGGTCATACAGCCCAGGAAACACACAACAACCCACTGATTCCGGCCATGAAAGCCTTCGACGAAACCTAGCAGTAATTAGAAGTGGATATTTGTGAGAAAGGACAGCGAGGTCAGTTGCATTCTGGTACCCAAAACAAGTTACTTGGTTCAGAGTTCTAAAATATTTTGTATTTTGTATTTTTTGCACTGAGCTTTGGTTGATTGATTTGTGGGTTCAAGTAAACACACACACACACAAGCATAACCAGATGAGCATCTAGAATGTATATGGAAGTATTGAGATCAATTACTAAGAATCGAAGCATCAGTGGTCTCCAATAAATCAGTCTTACGTTCACATAATACGTACCTGGTGAGTGTCTATATGATTCAGATGTGCGAGAGTAATATGTAGAAATCGCTGCTGTATCAGTGCCATCTGAACCAGGGAAGAAGAGGTCTGAGTCATCACTTGCTTGTAAATGGGCAGGTTCCAAATAATGCGGGGAAGGATCCTGACCCCCCACGGTGGAGTAATCCATTGTCGACTCTCTTTTTCAGAATTTTGGTCCACAGAGGATGAAACCTACCCAATAAAGAAGGAAGGTGTTACTAGGAGCCTGGAGAGATGTCTCTAACTGTGGCGAAAGTCCCATTTCGGAGAGAAAGACAGAGTGTAAGTCCAATAAACAAACAAACAGGGAGTGTAAGGATGATAGGAAGAAAAAGTTATGTGTTTTATTTACTGATTGATTTATGACAATGTTTGACAATCAGTAGTTTCCCCTTGAATGACAAGCAATGCTTGCTCTTTTAAAGGTACAGGATCTCATACCTTATTTCACCTGGCAAGCCTGTTCCAAAATTCACTACAGGCAACTGTATTCCAACATTCTCTCACAACTTTCGGGAATAGGAAGTTAAAAACAGCAATGCTTCTCAATCGAAACCCAGCATATAAGTATATATATAACAATTTAGCATTATGTCCCCCAAAAAAGCACTTTATATCAATTTAGGACTGCTTGTATGTCTCTATCAATGCCCCACCTCCTGTATCTTGTTCATGCCTAGCATTATTTTTTAAACTTTAATTACATTTGGCCCAGCCATAGATTTTAAATGTGCACTGTATTCTGTTTAACGTTTATGCATTTTGTGTATGAGATTTATTTAATTGCTTTGTATTGTATCTGTTATTGCTTGTATTGTTGTATTGTGGGCTCGGCCTCATGTAAGCCGCACCAAGTCCCATGGGGAGATGGTAGCGGGGTATAAATAAAGTTTTATTATTATTATTATTAATTTTACATGTATATGTGAATGTGTGTGTTTATATATATAGAGAGAGGGGTGGGTGTAAAATAAAGGTAAAGGTTTTCCCCTGACATTAAGTCCAGTCATTTCCGACTCTGGGGGTTGGTGCTCATCTCCATTTCTAAGCTGGCGAGCCGGCGTTGTCCGTAGACACCTCCTAGGTCATGTGACTGCGTGAAGCACCATTACCTTCTCACAGAAGTGGTATCTATTGATCTACTCACATTTGCATGTTTTTGAACTGCTAGGTTGGCAGAAGCTGGGGCTAACAGCAGGAGCTCACACCGCTCCCCAGATTCAAACCTGCGACCTTTCGATCAGCAGGTACAGCAGCTCAGCGGTTTAACCCACTGCTCAGTGGTTTAACCCACTGCATCTATAGATAGATAGATAGATGATAGATAGATAGATAGATAGATAGATAGATAGATAGATAGATAGATAGATAGATAGATATTTACAGCTTTTATATTCCACCCTTCTCACCCCGCAGGGGACTCAGGGCGGATTACAGTGTACACATATATGGCAAACATTCAATGCCAATCTTGACATACAACATATACAGACATAGACAGAGGCTATTTAACTTTTTTTTCTGGCTGCCAGGGGAGCTGTCGCTTTCATCGTCCATCTGCGACACTGATGAAGTACTTCCGCATTCCCCGCATGCTTTTGCTGAAGTCTTTATGGCCTCATAAATTAGTTAATTTAGCCTCCCCACACTTTAAGGTGGTACCTTATTTTCCTACTTGACAGATGCAACTGTCTTTCGGGTTGCAAAGGTCGACAACGGGCTACACAATTGGTTGGAAACCCACTCCAACCCGGGCTGGCTTCGAACTCATGACCTTTTGGTCAGAGTGATCTTAATGCAGCTGACACTCAGCCAGCTGCGCCACAATATATGGTGCTCGATAGATAGATAGATAGATGGATAGATAGATAGATAGGGAATGTATAAAATCACACTTATGGAAAAGCTGGCACCTATTATACAAAATGATAGAAATGACCAGCCAGAAATACCCTTCTTTTCAACTTGGTTTCCTTTTTATAAATTTGATCCCATATTGTCCCGCTTTACAACTACTTTGAAATTTCCCAGTTCTTTCTTTCTTCCTCCCACTTTCCCTCTTTGTCCACAACTTACATAATTTGCCTAAAAGTGAGTTCAAAGTGTGAAAATAATTTGTAATCAATTAGCTCAGAATGAAGGGAGATAAGAGGAGGCAGACTCCAGCTCCAACTACTTTTCCACATTAATCTGTTTTTCCACATTAAGAACGCAAGCCAACAAAATCAAACTTTTTGTAATCATCAGAAATGAGAGTAGCGCAATGTAAATCAATTTTATGCTGGTTTTAAATATGTCTTTGTTTTTTTCCGCATCACGTCAACTTTTTAAAATATGATGAATGGTACATTACAGTGGACTACTGTAAAGTCTGCACATTTCACATCATATGGAGCCCCTGGTGGTGCAGTGGGACTGAAGACCAACAGGTCGCAGGTTCGAATCTGGGGAGAGGCGGATGAGCTCCCTCTAACAGCTCCAGCTCCTCATGCAGGGACATGAGAGAAGCCTCCCACAAGGATGATAGAAACATCAAAAATCATCCGGGCGTCCCCTGGGCAACGTCCTTTCAGACGGCCAATTCTCTCACACCAGAAGCGACTTGCAGTTTCTCAAGTCTCTCCTGACATGACCAAAAAAAAAATCACATCATATTCATGTAACACAAGGCAACAAGTATTTTTCATCAGATATAATTTTAGATCATTCTTGTAGAGTTTTTTGCACTGAATTCAGATCTAGGTTTATTTTTTTCTCTATCACGTGTAGTTTTTGCAGTGAGGTTAATCAAATAATTAATGCATTTACACACTGAGTTTAATAGAATCTAATTAATCACAAGCAAACAAGTTATTTTCATCAGATAGGATTTTAAATCATTCTTACAGAGTTTTCCGCACTGAATTCAGATCTGTGTTTATTTTTTCTCTATCATGTGTAGTTTTTACAATGAGGTGAATTGAATAATTAATGTATTTATGCATGGATATCAATTAGATTCTATTGATATAAGTGTGTAAATGCATTAATTATTCAATTCACCAAATTGCAAAAACTACACATGATAGAGAAAAAAACACAGATCTGAATTCAGCACAAAAAAAAAAAAACCTCTATAAGAATGACCTAAAATTATATCTAATTAAATTATATAGCTGGCCCTCCAAGTCAAAGGACATTTAATAGAATACCAAGCCTGCAAACTTTGTGTTTTGTTTGTTTGCATGTTTGTCTGTTTCTTTTTAATACAATACAACCGTTTTGGTTCGCTCCTGACATGATAAATACAACAAATATCTGATGAAAAATACTTGTTGGCTTGTGTAATTTTTGCCAACTTGTCCACACTATGTTGCCACTTGGCCACATATGTCCTGGTGAAATATTGGAAGGCAATGTCATCATTGCCCTCAGCAATGATTAAGGCTCACACAGCCTTCCTCTGGCTTCAGTCTATGCTATGCATGGGCATGCTTTTTGGGTTCCAGATAATCTTGCAAAGGAAATATCATTCCAGCATCCTAATAGAAAATATCCCTATTCCTTGTACAGCATTCAACCACAGGTGTTTTGGTCTACATCTCCCATAATCCTTGATCATTGGCCAAGGCAACTGGAAGATACTGGAAACTGAAGTCCAAAACACCTGGAGGACTAGAGTTTGACTTCTGGCATCATGGAGAGGAGGAGTGAGAACTGCATGGCCTTCCAGACTATACTTCCCAGTATTTTTCATCATTGTCAGTGTTGGCCAGGATTACTGGAGGTACAACCAGACGAATAGGATCAAATGATTCCCACTGCTGATCTAAAGAAACAGAATCATAGAATCAAAGAGTTGGAAGAGACCTCATGGGCCATCTAGTCCAACCCCCTGCCAAGAAGCAGGAATATTGCATTCAAATCACCCCTGACAGATGGCCATCCAGCCTCTGTTTAAAAGCTTCCAAAGAAGGAGCCTCCACCATGCTCTGGGGCAGAGAGTTCCACTGCTGAACGGCTCTCACAGTCAGGAAGTTCTTCCTCATATTCAGATGGAATCTCCTTTCTTATAGTTTGAAGCCATTGTTCCGCATCCTAGTCTCCAGGGGAGCAGTAAACGAACTTGCTCCCTCCTCCCTGTGGCTTTCTCTCACATATTTATACATTGCTATCATATCTCCTTTCAGCCTTCTCTTCTTCAGGCTAAACATGCCCAGCTCCTTAAGCCGCTCCTCATAGGGCTTGTTCTCCAGACCCTTGATCATTTTAGTCGCCCTCCTCTGGACACATTCCAGCTTGTCAATATCTCTCTTTAATTGTGGTGCCCAGAATTGGACACAATATTCCAGGTGTGGTCTAACTAAAGCAGAATAGAGGGGTAGCATTACTTCCCTAGATCTAGACACTACGCTCAACTACGGCCCGCAGGCCACTTCCAGGCCGCCAAGGGCACTTATCCAGCCCAAGGAGGAGTGTCCCCCCCCCCCACACACACAGTGCCCCTCCCTTGGCTGGCTCACACTATCCATCAGGACCGATGGGCAGCTGCTCCGTGCGGCCTACTTGCGCATAAAGCAACTCGCGAGGTGCTTTACACGTGAGTAGGCCGCACGGTGCTCCTCCTCCCTTGGCTGGCTCACGCTATCCGTCAGGCCCGATGGGTAGTGTGAGCCAGCCAAGGGCAGCTGGTCCGTGTGGCCTACTCACGCGTAAAGCACCTCGTGAGGTGCTTTACACGCGAATAGGCCCCGCGGTGCTGCTCCTCCCTTGGCAGGCTCACGCTATCTGTCAGGCCCGATGGGCAGCGTGAGCCAGCCAAGGGAGGCTGCCCCGGCGCTCCATGCAGTCATGCCGGCCACATGACCTTGGAGGTGTCTACGGACAACGCCGGCTCTTCGCCTTAGAAATGCAGATGAGCACCACACCCCAGAGTCAGACACGACTGGACTTCATGTCAGAGGAAAACCTTTAACTAGGAAAATTGTGGAAGATCCAGGGTGGGAGAAAGAACTCTTGTCTGTTGGAGGTAGGTATGAATGTTTCAATTGGCCACCTTGATTACCATTTCATAGCCTGACAATTTTTAGGGAGAATCCTTTGTTGAGAGGTGATTAGCTGCCCCTGATTGTTTCTTGTCTGGAGTTCCCCTGTGTGGAGTGTTGTTCTTTATTTACAGTTATAATTTTAGAGTTTTTTTAATACTGGTAGCC